AAATGTTTACAACATTAGGAAATTGCTGCGGCACTTAGTGCGAAACGTGCTGTAAGACAAACACTTAAATAAACATGAAAATAAAAATTAAAAGTGCTAAGCAGATTGATGTATACATGTACGCAGGTGATGATCAGTGCAAAAATGGAACAGATGCAGAGAACACAGTGTAGGGTCATGTGTTTGTGGTGGGAACAGTTTTATGGTTGTTGTTCATGAGTCCAACAGCAGAGGGGAAGAAACTGTTCTTAAGGTGAGAGGTTCTAGTCCGAATGGACCAGAGCCTCCTGCCTGAGGGGAGCAGGTCCAACAGACTGTGTCCAGGGTGAGAAGGGTCAGCTGTGATCCGAGCTGCACGCCCCAGTGTCCTGGAGGTGTACAGGAGGTGTGAGCCACCGTCATGGCTGTCTACTGAATATTAAGCTGGAATTAGAGTTGACTATCTTAGCTTAGCTTAGTTTAAATGATCTTTGTTTCATTTAGCTCAACATGAGAACTACAAATGGGGAAAATGACTGTAATTGGCATAAATTATTATATCAAGCCACAGTTACTTCGCGGAAGTCATTGCTCAAGGAAAAAGGAAAATTCAACACAAACCGGTATGAAAGCTAGAGTTTTACACTTGAGCTCTGTATGAACTGAAGAAATAAGATACGTTGTGTTTATTGGTGGGACTTTAGCAGCTCTAGTAGGAAGATTTTATTACCTTGGCACAGAGGCTGGGTTGGCTAGGCGTTTCCGTTTTTTCCAATCATCAGCCAGAGCTAACCTAGCAGGCAGTTGGCCGTAGCTTCATATTTACCAAACAGATATTAGCCTGAATCTATAAAGCCTGAACCATGAAATAATTACCAAGAAATAAATCTAATCATTTTTAACCTTTAGTGTGTTTATTAATCTTTCTGATAAATAAAAAAATATATGAATTTACATTTATGAGTTTTAATTTCTATCATTTTTGCTACATCCACCACCTTTGTTCAATTTATGGTTTTAAAATTAAAAAACAGTGCAATTTATTTATTTATTTTCAGGAAAAAGGTCACAAAAACTAATTACAAAGTTAGAAATGTGTCATTCCCCTCATTGTTATTAACAAATGGAAAGGATTTCTTTTCTGAGGTTGAGGCTTGTTAATTGTTTTTGCACCCAGTCCTACTGTGATAGTTGTCTCTCAGATTTAATTCCGATCCTCTGTGTGGATATATTTCATGGTGGTCTGCTATCTAACTTAACTATGTCCTGCCAATGTTTCTTCAGCTTTGCCTTCTCCAAGCCAAGGTGCTTCACGGTCACCCCACCCAACAGAGTAACTAATGATTTTCTCTTGTCAGCTCTCAATGGTACACAACCAGGGGTAGTGAATGAAGAGGTCTGGGCTCAAAGGATTATCAAAACTTTAAACAAAGCCCATAAAATGTGGAGTAAATATAAACAGTCATCCACCATTTATGCCTCTGTAAATCAAAGCATGTGTGTTTTTGTAGGATGAAGCAGTTGCAGGCAGTGACGGGTTTGACCACACGTAACATCCAGGTTCAATACTGGGATGTTGTCAGGAACAGCAACACATTTCAGCATGCACACGTGCTATCTATCACTCTACATGTTTGTCTTGCAGAAAATACTTTTCGGCCTTAATGGGATAAACTCAAAGGGCGCTGGAGAGATGGGCCAAATATTCCATGAAAAACCTCAGCTCTTTGGTTCCCTGAAAGCTTTCTTGGTCAACAAATGAATCCAAGAGTGGGAGAGGAGATGACAGTGCCAAAGACACCCACCACTGGCCTCAGTCTAATATCTGTCAAAATATAAATCAATAAGATCTGAAGACAAATGACTCGGTGCTGGAGGTTGCAAAGCCAAGCATCCCTGAGCTGAATCTGAATTCCGGCATCTCATATGAATTTCAATGATTATTTTTGTAAACTTTTTAGATATGCATCACCTTGCTCTGTTTGCATGTCAGGTTATAAATCAGCAGCCCACACTCCTGATTCAGGGCCCAGTGCTGACTTCAGCACCGTCACACTCTATGGCAACGAGATGAAGGTTATCGACCAGGCCCATGGGCCAGAAAACGATACAAACTCCCAGTGTGCACCCAGTGGCACCGGGCAGAACATCTGTGCAACTGCACAAGTCACCTTGATTTGTTTTCAAAACACATCAGCAATAACACAGAGGATACACAAGGGAGCTGATCAGTTTTTGACCCGTGTAATCCTTCCTCAACAAGCACTGTTTCCATGTTTGCTCCTTTTGTTATGCACAGCTTCACTTTTCCTCTCTGTAATTTTCTTTGAAAACATGACATTAGAGAGAATGCGGCACTATCTCCAAATTTGCGGCCATGATTATTCTTACCAGAAAGAGAAAAAAGGGAAATCTGATAACTCCAGATTATGTTGTAAAGTTACAGGCATGTGCTGCACTTGGGCGATTTGAATTTCTTTTTTTTTTTCCGTGGATTTGAAATTCTGTAATAACTGCTATCGTGTGTATTTGTGCACTAGACAAAAAAAATTCTCTTGCAGCCATGGAAAGAAAGTAATACTGGTGAACAATACCCGTGCCTTCCATGATTGGCAAACCTCAACTCATACCCCCTGGGAAGTTGTAGAAGTGCTTTATATTTCAAATTCTACCCACACACACAAAAAAAGAAAAGAAAATGCTGCTGGAATGGATGAGCTCCACCAGCTGCCGAGACTTAGAGTGAAGATGATGTGATTTTTGGATTGGACTGAGAAGACATTTCAATATTTGGCTCGGAGGTGTCAAAATTGTCATGCCACTGCCAAATGCTCTCTTAGAGATCAAACATTCTCTTTAATAAGACTGCCCGAGGGTTATGTAAGCTTAAACTCAAATATAAAGTCTTCCAATATGACTTCTTTCATTATTATTATTACACATTTCAGGAGGAGCGGAGCTACATGCTCATTTGGAAGTGAATAGATGGAACTGTCAAGAGTTTGTAGAAATCACCTGCAGACTGAGTTGAAGTCTGCTGGAGGTAATCTCACGCACAGTAATGTGGATTTAGCAAGAAAGGATGATTGGATGTTAAACCAATCCAGCAATACATGATATACTACATGTGGTAATACTCCAATCCACAATGAGCAATCAGGCTACTACACAAGGTGTCAGGGGAGCAATACATCTTAAGGCCCGTGCTGTGTGAGCACCGTCAATTACCAGTGCAGTGCTGCTCTGACATGAGACTGAATATTGTTTTTGGCATCGAAGGCAAGAGGGAGAAGAGCAAGACAGTGAGCAAGCCTAATTGTGATGTGCCATAATTTCCCGCTCAGGGCCTCTCAGTCATATGGGTGAGGTCAAAGGTGCAATAGAGGGAGTCCATCAGAGGCAAGGCGTGCTGAAGTCATCTGTACAGAGTTATTCGGTGTGAGGTGAAGTCAACTTGGTCAGACAGGAGACCTAATCAGATTTCAAAGTAAATACAGTGCCGCCGGCTCCAGAAGACTGAGTCCAAACATTGCTGCTAATTGCATCTGTCTTCATTTTCCGCATCTCACTGTACAACAGCAGCGAAAGAGAAACCTAGATGGAACAGGGACTATTTCAAAACCGCAGAGAGCACCTCAACGTTACCTCAATTTTTAGGTCGTAACTGTTCATTTTAGAGATTGCCAACTCTGATTGCTTCTGTCAGAAATCAAAATATAATGCCTGTGAAGTGTTTCTACTGGAATATTTCTTTCTTCTTCTTCTTCTTCTTTATACACGGAGACTGAAAAGGAAAATATATATAGTCTTGTCCCGTTTGCCTTATGTGGGACAGAGCATGGAAACCTACGTAAGCACAGTCAAGTAGCACAATTTGCTGCAACTGATCTCCTGTATTGTGACATTTCTGTACAGGAGAGCTGCTCCAAGTTAAACAGACGCCTTATGTCAAGAGGCTTTTTTTTTTTTTTTACCATCACCACATCCAGCTGCATCTCAAAGTTATGGACGGCTTGTTCACAGAGTGCTTTTACCATCATGTCCTGAAAGTCCCAAGAGTTACGCCCGCCACATGGTGTTTATTGTAGGTCACCATTAGGGCCCTGGCCCTCAGTGACACCTTGGCAGACGGGGGAAGGCTTCCACCCCAGAGGAGCGTGAGTGACTGTTTTACTGTGGCGGTTTCGGTATTCTGTACTCCATCAAAAACCCAACCACATATCAACTGACTGCCATATGCAGACTTGAAAATTACAAGTGCACAAATAGTCAGAGCTGAGTGTAATTTAAACTGTACATACAATGTTATTAATTGTGTCTCTGACAGGCATGATGACATTTCATTGTTGCCCTATACTGGTGAAGCCAGACTGTTTTTTTTTTTATAAATCATATCAGTGTCCTACAAAAAAGAAGAAGTCATGGACAAATAATCATGTTGCCCTCTCACCGTTAGAGCATCGGCAAAGTATGCATAGCACTAGGCTATGGTCAGTGAGCAGCACTGGATATGACATCAAATCTCTGAAATGTCTCTGTAAGCAAGTTTGTGCTGAGTCCACATCAACAAGTGTGTAATGTGGTAAGAGAGAAGTGTGCGAGCAAGCATCCACAGCGAGGGGATGAGATTCACAGAGGCTCCTGAGGGAAATCAGAATAAAACGGTAGATTTGCTTGGAAAGCACATTTCATATTTTCAGAGGAAACCGAGATGCCGATTATCCTACCCGATACTTAAAAGGGAAACATAAAAACGGCAATGGAGCGCGAAAACGACATCATCTGGATTGTAAATGCCTTCTGTACCTGCTATTTATTTTGGGATGTATTGCTGAATACTGCAATGCAAGAGAGGGACCTAATTTACCCTAAGGCTAAGTCTAGACAAAAACACTAAGGATTTTTTATTGTATGAATAAAAAATACGTAAGCTGTTTGGATGAATTATAGCACATCTCAAGCGTTATGAAAGACTTGGACTTAATAATAATAATGCATAATCGCAGCAGGCATGTCCATGACGTAAGCACGGCGTACGTTATCACAAAGGAAAAGATGGCGTCGGTAGCAGAAATGTACGATGTAGGATGGGAAGGTAAGATAAAATAGCTACTCTTCAAGTGTCACACAGGCACGTGTTCTTACTTTTTGAAAGCTTCTGGCGTTATCTTGCGCACTGACATGACGTGGAGTCGTCGCTGTTCTAGACTTAATATACGAGCTCTCAAGCTACCCTTTAAAGTGGTTAGCTAAACATAGTTAGCAAAGTGTGCTACCCAGTCAGTTTTATGTTCGCAGTAGTCAGTAACCGCTTCATTGTCCCTAGCTTCAGCGTAATGATGGCGTGAAAGCACCGGGAGTGTGCAGTGGAAACCGACGTTTGTCTCTTTGAAGAAAAGACACAGGGCTTGTTATCATTTTAGCCCGGGTTGGCCTAATGCAGCGGCTAACGGTAGCCACCACAGACTACGCAGGTGTCGGGTCCTGTAAAAGAGCTGGAACACGGCGACAGTAACGCAGTACCGTACTAATGTTGATGCTGCCTTTTCTCCGCCTGCACTTGTGTGCATTCATAACGTCTCCTAGTTGCTCGAACATTTTCGTGTCATGCTGTCAAATCTGTTGAGCTAAATACATGCATAGTATATGAAGTTTGGTGTGTGTAATGGTCCTAATATCGTAAATCTCTTCAGCCACACCGGTTCAAATGCCGGACAGGTTTGAGTGCATTTATAGGTAATAAAGTGTGATTTAGAAAAGCTGTATGCCGCTCACACTTGACAATCGTGTGGTAGAGTGCTACAGAAGTGAAGGTCTTGAAATAGTGAATTGTGTTGCAATCTGTTAATTTTCTCATTTTGCAGTTGTCCTTATTTTTCATTGTCTCTGTCCAAAGAGATGAGAGATAAGCTGCGGAAATGGCGAGAAGATAACTACAGAAACAGTGAACAGATTGTGGATGTTGGTGAAGAACTCATCAGTGAACATGCATCTAAACTGGGAGATGACAGTAAGTGTGTCAAGGCTGAATAAATCTGAAGATTGTCATCTTATGTCATTATAGACATGTTTTTTGTGTGTGTGGTTAGGTGGAGTGTTAGACTTAAGAATACTGATTATATTATATTATTTGGTAGTATTAAAACAGGTAACTAAACATAAAAGCAGAGAAAATTTTGTCTTTGTATGACAAATTCAAAACAACAGGAAAAACTTTATACTTGTAATAAAACAGTGAGTTGTTTGTTCCTTTTCACTAGTGGCGACCTTCAAAACTGCAGTATTTAGGCAATAGTTTAGGATTTAGACTTTGTAGTGACTAAAACTACTTAATAACCCTCAGTAAAATTTGTCAGTAATAATTTTCTTGTTCTTAGAGAGAATCAAAACGTTGTGGACTTTTTAATTTCTGGACATGATCTTGAGCTTACTGTGATGTGGATCATGCAGATAAGCAAAGACAGTTCTGAGAATACAAGTCTGGACAGGGGATAATGCTTAAAATGAAAAAGGGTGAACGGAAACCAGTTCATATTTTAATGTCTTTGGTTTGATGAGTAAACGTCGATACAGAAATTAAATTGGTAGATTGTCAGGAAAAACACTAAAACATGATTATTTTCCAGAAATACAGTGAGCAGGAATACAGCCCTACACAGTTTAATAGTGTAAAGAAAAAAAGAATAAGGAGTGTGTTACCTTTCACAGTGCACACCATATTGTTATTCCTGCAGATTTTATTTATTGTTTTAGCTGCCCTGCTGCACTACTTCGTAAAACTCTCCCTTTTCCTCAAATCATAATGATTTACAAACCCCTTAAAAGAATCGGACGCACACTTGACATGCTATGCTTTTATTGAAACCAACTCCTAAATTGGCTGTGAAATGAGATGGCAATTATCAAAACATGAGTTGGAATCATTAAAGTGAAGAAAAACTAAGGGCATTTGTTTGTTTTGGCATAAAACCTTTTGGGTGGAGGCTGGGTGTATTTCATTTGGCTGAACATGTCTAGTTTATTTATCAAAGCTGCTGGCTTAACATGTTGCGCTGATTTCCATTAGTCGACTTGTGCAGGCACTCTGTTATGTGTTATAGAATGTTGTAATGTCACAGTTGACTTAAAGAAAAATTGTCAATAAACATTTCATATTTTTAAAGCTCACCACAGAGTTAAACATGTTAAAGGGTTAGTGTGTGTTATGTTGGTGAGGCTTAGCATGACTTGCTTCACAAGCAAATAAATATAACATGGAAGAAAATGCAGAAAGTGTTGTCATATAACCACCTATAACACCTATGTAAATTTCCATTAATAATTTTATTGGTGTTGAAAAGTGTTGCAATGTTTGGATTGTTTAAGAATTAGCGGTATAGTTATATAAATGTCACCCACTTATCAAAATAATTTTATATCTTATTTCTTTAGAAACTGATATGTACAATCTTTGTATTTGTAATGAAAACAGTCACAATATGTTGTTAACCCGACCACATTTAGCAGATCAAACTTGCTTTGGCACAAAAACTACAGTCTGTGTTATAACAGTCATACAACCCTGAGCGAAACATCTCAGCATGGAATCTACAGAATTGTTAGTTTAACTACTTTAGTTTCACAATGCGTCAGCACTGTTTTTAAGAATATTAGTAATATTTGCAGGATTTTTTCTTCAGAATATAGCTGCACCCTTACTAAACCGCCCAAATTGTGACTGTTGTTTTTTTTCCCCTGATGCCTCAAGAGATAATTATATCCATACTAACACTTTGTATTGTATTATTAAAGTAGAATTTATTTGGAAACTGTAAACAGACTGGTTCTTATGTAGTGTTTTTCTACTTTACTTAAGCACTCAAAATGTTTTATGTCTCATTTCCCCATTCACAAATGCTTTTTCTATGCCTATGTGTTTTCTATCTAGCGTTCACACAGATTCACACTCTGTTAAATTGGAGTTCAATATTCTACCCGAGGATGCTTTTGGAATACAGATTTGAGCGGCTAGGGATTGAATCACTAACCTTATGATTAGTAGATGACCTGCTCTACCTCTTGAGCCATAGGCACCATTTCAACATAATGAGGAAAGCAAATTATGGGGTTGAGTGTAACTTTCAAACAGTCTAACTTAAGGACCACCCGGCACACAAAAATGAATTCACACAAAACCATATTAAGATGTTCCACCTGTGTTTATGGTTGTGTAAATGCTTTCAAAGTGATCTGCAAAGCTTCTGCATCTAATATGCATTTAAAATGATTGTTAGGACTAATAAAAACATAGTTTTAAATAAATATATTTATTTATATTTGTTGTACAGTCAAAGTTATTTTTAGGATCATTCCATCTAACATAGTAAAATCTGAGAAAATTCCCACTTGACCCCCATATAAGCTTTTTTCACTACTTGGAAATCTATAGTTCAGTTCCCGTCCAGATGTCAATTCCACATGTTGAAGTGTCCTTGAGCTAGATACTGAACCCCAAGTTGTCACTCTACTCACTGGAGTGTTGTGTGTCTGTGTGATAGTTATAAACCATGCAGTATAGTATAAACATAGGTAACATTTAGTACAAAGTACTTTTTTATGCTCAAAGTAAAAAAGCTGTTTAAGTAATAATCCATTCCCCACTTACTTACTTACAAAAATTAAATTCAAAATCTCACATTAAATCAGTGACATTTTTTGACACTCTGAAAATTGACTGAAATTGAATTAACTGAAACCAGTTGAATCCAGTTGTTATAAAAAAGTTTTATAATTTGAATGTACATGTGTGTTCCTGCTCTAAGAATCTTCCTTAAATGTAAAAGTAAAACTACTGAAATTGAATACATTTTATGACCAGTTCACTGCTAGCAAATCAATAGTATGCCTGTAAAATTTTTCAGAAGGGTGTTTATGGATGTTAGTAATACAGCATGGATGTTTTTAAGTAATAGTCAGTGTATGTCAAAAGGAAAATAATAAATGTTCCATGATGTATTAAATGAAACAGAACAGTTCTTTTAATAATAGTAATAATAATAAACTCTTGGTTCTCATTGTGGAAAGTGGGGAAAAAACATTTTTGTTGTTGGGGACAGACTCTTAAGTCTCTATGTCAAGTGTATAGTTTAATATATCAAGTTTTAGATGTTATGACAGACAGTGGAATGGAAAGGGCGTCAACACTTTCTTCTTTGTCTGTGTGTTTTCTGCCCAGTATGGATTATTTATGAGCAGGTGATGATTGCAGCCCTGGACTGCAGTCGGGATGACTTGGCTCTGGTAAGTTTTCGTCGCACTTCCTCACACACCCAAAAGCTTCACTCTCTCACAACCATTACTACTTTGCAGCACCTGCGCTGCCAAATGTGAAAATCTGATTTTTATTTGGCCAAGTGGTCTTTACTTTGTCTGTACTTTGGAAAAACAGTTTAATAAGAACTGGAGTTAGTGGATGTAACAAATACATGGAGATGCACGCTTCAAGTGTTCACTGAACTTGGCATCTCTAACAAAGTTCCACCTTTTTTTTCTCTAGGATTTATTTGTCACGTAGTGTCACGTAATTATTCAGAGTTTAGGTTCAGAAATATGAAAATGGTCAAATCTGCATGCAAAACTAGAAGGGGTGGGGGGGGACAGTAATTCAAGTAGTTCATCTCCAATCAGTATGGATGTGACAGCTCCCTTTGGCTAAATGAGTGACTCACCGAGTACAGAGAAGGCTCGAACTCAATCATTAGAATTAGTTGTCTGTTGGCTATCCTCTCAGCACTTCTGCCAGAAAAAAAAAAGCAGAAGGACTAGACTTAAGCTGATGGATAGCAGATACGATCCAGGTCACACTGCAGACTTTTCCATCTCATTCATGATAATGCTGAATGCTATTGTTACTATTGTCTTCTCTTTCACAAATTCAAACTTTGTGTAGAAGAGGAAGAAAAGGTGGAAGTAGGAGAATCTGCACTTTTAAAAAATATATTTTTCTTTTTTTAAATATAGTGATGTGGCTGTCCCAATGTGTAACAGAGAAATAACAGTTCATTTAAGACAGTGAAGTTTGCCTTATGGGAGAATGTCTGTATTGTTGGTTGTTCAGTTAAGTCCCAAGACAGACCGTTTGTATCAAAGAAGCTTTGGTATTTGCGTGAGAGTCAGCGTAACATAAAGTTTAAATACTGCCATCTATAATTGGTCTCCCTTCTGCCCACATCCTTGCAGACCTGTCTACAGGAACTGAGGAAGCAGTTTCCAGATAGCCACAGAGTGAAGCGATTAACGGGCATGAGGCTGGAAGCTTTGGAAAGGTAAGCATTGGGAGAGAGGGCAGGCAGAAAAAAGCACGGCCTTACTGTTATGTATGGTACTTTGAGAGGCTTGGGGACAAGAAAATGTTAGCAGATCCTAAGTGGTACAATGGTCTGGGTATATGTAAGTACAGTGTGTGGGGTAATGTGTGTTTATGTTGGATCACCCAGCATTCCTTTTGGAGAAAGAAGGGAATGGAGTGGGGAAAGGTTCAGTGCTGGGTAGTCCTGTGGCCCTTTAGACTGAGGTAAGGATTCCCGGGAAGGAAGTGGTTAGATCCCACTGTTATTCTGGGGGTCTCTCAGCACTCTCTGGTTTCTATTCTGCTGTTGTTTCCTTATTTTGTTACTTCTTATTCGCCTCTTTTTTTTTTTCTCTTTGCCTTCCCTGTTTTGATCTCAGTGCTTTAAGAGCGTCTTGGCTATGTAAATATTGAAATGCCACCACAATCAGAACAAGGAGTCTGAGGAAGGAAGATAAACAAGGGGGTATTTTAGTTTGTACTGATCTGAAGTCAGGGTAATTCAATCTGTTTACTACCTCACTCACATTCCCCACCCCGATTACCATTGCTGGTTTATCGGTTATGTCAGAGTTTATGTGATAATTGAGAGTGATTGCTTCAGCACTGTCAGATTAAATAAACTCCACACTGGGATCTAATTGGCAGCAGACAGAGCTACACTTCAATGACGCAGCTTCAAACAGTAAGGGCCTTCCCCTCCACACATGCATATGCTTGCCCACACATACACACACATGCTTGGTCCTTAAATAAATAAAGCAAATCAAAGTGGCTTGTGAGTGGTTGCCTGGTGCCATCTGAAGTCTTCCAAAGTGTGGCTGAGTAATAAAGTGAATGTGAGGGAAGCATCAGTGCTGGAAGTAGGGCTGCTCATTGCTAATGGGAACCAGAGGTGCTTCTGTCTGTTGCGGGATTAACCATTTGTGATCAAGGAACCATGCTGTTGTTTGCTAAAACATCAGTGCTGCAGATTACTCCTTACAAGCAAAAAAACATTCTTTGGCGCCTGGTTTCACATCATAAGTGAGGAGCACATGCATCCGATTGCAAGATTTTTATTTATTTGTAACCATGTATCCATATTTATAGCTCATGTATTTGTTCTTGTTGGCCCTGTCCAACAGTCTGAAGCACACTCTTTGGGATGCAGCAGGCTATCAGGTTCATATGCATGTTTTGTGGTAATATGTGGGCCCAGAGAGAAAAAGACTGTTGCAGACACAGACAGATGTAAAGGCAGCATTTTAATTTTGTTTAAAGGTGAAAACAACTCTACACAATCAAATGAAAATACAATCTGAAAAACAGGGAGTTTTATTTGTATTGATGTCATGAGCCATTGTGAAATTATATAAGCCACCGTATGACCAATAACCTAAACTTAAATGAAGGTTTTTCTTTCTATAGATTAATACTGATTTCTGTACAGCCTCATTGTAATCCTAGAAACCTGCCATAATGTGTACAGAAACTTAATTGTTTTGAACTCTTTTTTTTCCAAACCATCTAATTTTACTTGACTGGGAATAGGGATTGGTTTAATTTTTAATAAAATGTTTTTTCTTCCCCCCACTTTCCCATGCTGAAGGTACGATGAGGCCAACAAGCACTATGATGCCATTCTCCAAGACGACCCCACCAATACGGTAAGGAAAGAAAAAAAGAAAAGTCCCCTGCTTAGCGCTCTACTTTGCTTCACTTTGTGGTTTCAGCTTTTTGGAGGGCTTTAAATCTGTCGAGGCAATTCGGTGTTAGCAAGGGAGTAGCTAAGTTAAACTCCAGTTGGCCTCTGGCCTCAACCACACTGCTGATCAGCCTATCACCCACACAACTAAAAAGTGTTTAAGGGAGGGGGCTGGGTGGCTGGGGGGGTGATTCATAGTCTTAGTCAGTGGCGGACATGTTTGGTGGAAGTAAAGCGTAAATATAGCTCCGGTCTTTGAAGATGATGATTTACTGGGCCTTTTAGACCTCCACCCCAACTGAACAGGGATAAGCTCCCTTCCCTTCACCTTTGCTCTCTACTGGCTTCAGGTGCAAAGTGCTGCTGGATGTTAAGCTGGTAATACAAACAAGTCTGAAGTAATTCTCTGAAGCCCACTCCTTGCCATCTTTTCTTTTCAATTTACTATCCATCACTGTAAAATAACTTGCAGAAACTTGTCTAGCCAGTGTTCTGCCAAACCCACATACCTTAAACACAATGTACCTGCTGGTAATTGTTTCCATAAGGACATGTGGCCAAGCAAGAAAATAAATCTTTTAAAGGGTTTTCAGAAGAAAGCAGCTTGTTTATTTTGGCTGTAGCCTCCCCCCCCCCAAAAAAAAAAAAAAAAAAAAGATGTGCAAAAAGTCCTGTGCCATGGTGCCATATGGATTCCTTTAGATGCATTAGATATTTTCTTTCAGCAGGCAGTGTGCTAGAGACACATCATAGGTACTTTGGATTTCATTTCACAACATCAGCTTTGTGCTTTAAACAGGAATAAGCTTGTTCTCCGTGTGTCATGGAGAAATAGCCTCCCTATCTTTATCTTGCAAGAGCTGCTGCCTCCCATCAGTCTCTGTCTGTCTCGCACTCACTTTATAATTATTTGTCGCTGTTTTACACTGAGATTGTAAATCATTTTTGCTGGTTAGTATAAATATAATTTTGTTTTACATTACAATTATAAATATACATTTTTATTTATCCACCCTTATGCTGGATTCAGACTACATAACATTGACAGAAAAGCTACAGAAAAAAATAACTTTAGCATTACATCTTCCTTTAAATCTTGCATAACAGTTCTGTAACTACTGTAAGGCTTACCAAGGTAAACATGGTGGATTCTGCCAGCTGCTGAGAACTTTTTACACCAGTCAGCTGTGTAGAGCTGTAAACATGACAAAACAAAAGAGAAATTATACTTCTGTTGCAATTGGTTTAACATTCTTTTCCTGGAAATTGTTAGCTGGCACCTCCTTCCTACCAGATGACATCATGCATATCAGAAACACTAGCTAGCATGATTGATTATGGAGCAGTGTGTTGTCTTTCAGTGTTCAGTGACTGACCGTGACTGTGTGTCATAACAGCTACTAGTTCAATGGTATTTTAACGAATACAAATTAAGCATCAGATCAAACGTCAAATTCAAAATGTTTTAGCTTTCATTAAGGCTAGAAATAACAAGAACTTGAAATTCAGTTTTTCCTCTCACTGTGATGATTTGTTGGTTGTTAGAAATAAAAATAAAAAAAATGCAACTTTTTCAAGAGGTAGTGACAATTTATTTTAAAACCCAAAAACTACCCTGAAAATAAGACACTCAGCAGGAGTCATATAAGGTTTATTGTTGGATTGATAATAGTTTTGCCATACATAATGTAAAATATGGATATAGTGAAGTGCCTAAAATCCTGCATTCTATCTGAATGCCACCATATGGTGATAGCTGTGGTTGGGGAAAGAGAATTCAAGTCCAAGTCAAGTCTTTGGGAAAAATGTTTTTTGTTTTATTTTGTTTTGGGGTTTTTTTTTGTCACGTTACATCTGTAAACATTTTATTGCTGAGTAAATCTTGGTCATACTATGTTTCAATTGAAGGATTATCTGTGGTATGAAGCTGCATGTTTACTGGCTAATGAGTTGTCAATCACAGGTCATTAGACAATCCCTCCTCCTTTTCAATACATCTGGTCTTTTGCAACCAAGATGGCAAAAAAAAAAACTTATCACAAGGCTTCAGAACAGGACTTTATAAACCAATGGATGATGTTATGGTAGTGTTATACTGTCTATGGGTTGTTCTGAAAACAATGAAACAGATACACAGCTGTTGCTTGATTGAGCAGTAAGAAAGATAAAAAGTTTAATGAGAGGTTATTAGATTAGTGTCTGAGCTTAATGAGTGCAGTTATTGAACCAATCCGGAACCAGACCTGCTCTGGATCCAGCAATTGCAAGCATGGCTGCAACTAAAGCACAGAGCAAACATTTTAAAGATGGGTTACCAACAGTGATTAAATTTTTCAGTCATGATGCCTACCAATATTTGGTAGCACAAAAGTGTCATTGACATTTTTGTCATAGCCTGCTCTCCTGAATGACTCTGTCGGTCCGTTTCAAACAAGGAAATAAGACTCGGGTGATTGCAGTGAATATTCTGACACGCTAACGAAAATGAGATTCAAGTTGCAAATTCTGTGATTTTCTTCCAACGCTGTCATTGTCACGTACAGTGATTGGCACTCAGCCAACTTATGTTTGGTTATTAGAATGATCTGTAGTGAATTGTTTAAATATATCCAGTGTTCTGATAATGTGAGTTGTAATTTCAGTGAGTCCCAGGACACCTCCCAGACATGGCACAGATCTAATGTAGATTGCAGGGACATACTCGGAAAGGGAATGGTCTGTTTCCTGGTCTCTGCGTGCTAGAGACTGCCACCCTTTCAAGCGTAGGCTGACATTCAAACCTGGGACTGGGAGTGGAACAAAACAGACAAATATGTCCTCTGTCTCTGAGATGTTAACCTTAAACCTTTTTCCCAAAATCCTTGTCCTCAATGGGTGTAGTGATGCAGGGTGGAGCGACGATTCAATGACATCACTTAGGTCACCTGTCTTATTGTGAGGGCTGCCTCCTCCCTACATGTTCTCCAACATGCTCTTAGGATTCGGGCAGGGGATGGGCCTGAGAAATGGCGGAAAATTGGCGACCACAAGGAAGACTTGCGAGGCATCCCAGCATGCGAAGCACAGATTGGAAACTGAGCTGTTGTAATTACAGGCTGTGGAATAGATGTGGTACCCATTAACCAAAATTGTTGAATCAACAAAAATTGCTCAAGGTTTTTTTTTTTGCCATGGCGCTGTCCAAAAAATGTTTCAAACTCTTAGCCCTTCCATTGCTTGCTATGTTCCAATACCTACAGCAATGAGCTGGCAAAATTCTTGTCTGCGTGCATAAATGCGATTTTTCCACCTTTTTATTTCTTCCTGTGAGTATTTTAGATTATGTGGTGCAAACAGCATTTGCAAAAAAGGATGTGCTAGTTTAGGATTTGTTTAAAAATGAGTGGACTTAGTGATTACGTTAATATTAAATTCCAGCGCTCTCATTTCACCCTAATTGTTCAATATAAAAAGCTAGTATTTCTTAAATAAGCCGCTGAGGTCACACAGACGACTTCTGAGGTTGACCCACAATCATATGCAATTAGAGATTCATTGCTAGACAAGAGTTTATTTGTGCGGGAAAAGCAATGTGAAGTTTAAAGCCTCACGTCAATGTTTATTGACCACATAAATGTGAAGTATACTCTGAAAACTCTTGGAAGCGTTTGACTTTCAGACTTTAAAAAAGGATTCGATTGTAACTTAAACAATCTGCTGTGTATGGGTGCAAACATACCTGTGGGGAAAAAATAAATAAATAAATGCATAAAATACATTTTTAACCTGTTTCACACATGTCAAGTGTGCCACCTGTGTTGTGTGTTCATGTCTCATCATAGGGAACGAATGCTGTAGGTCAACTCATGGTGCAGTGTTGACACAAATATGCTAGTCTGTACTTTTTGAGTGTCCTCAGAGCATTAATTAAAAAAAAAAAAAGTCATAACGACAGAGGGATCAGATAGTCAAATGCCAGGTTTTTGGTTTTTTTCTGGATCAGTAGCTAGAAAAGAACAGGGAGGAGTAGGTTGGAGTTACTTTATGTTTAATAAAGTGCTATGACATTTCAGAGCAACAAGTTCCATATGTTGTTTTGAGCCCAAAGATGTTCTTTATCCAAGGGGGGGAGGGGGGGACAGAGAGAAGTGGGTGTGTGTTGAGGAAAGATCTTATTTGTGTCTTTAATTTGAAGTGAGTATAAATTCTAATTTCATGATAGACTGCAGATTAAATTGGCGCCCTCTTTGTTTTAATAGTCTGAATACAGGTAGGCAATAGAATTGTGATGCACAATGTTGCTGTATGGATACAAAGCGTGTCACTCCAACTCGAGAGAAGAGGCCCAGCCTTCTTATCTCTTCTCAGATTTTATTGGGAAAGTGCTGACCAGATGTAGTGAGCACATCTCTCTCCTTTGAAGAATTTCAGGACACTATTCTTCATCTGTCTTGTTAGCTTCTTGAACAATAAGTTGCAGCTCAAAGATGCGCAGTCCAGATCATCCAGGCTTATTAAAGAAGAAGGTATTAAAAGGAAATAATTAGCCATTCACGGTTCACTGCTGGTTGATAAATTCATGAAATGTTAATTTTCTCTCAACTTGCCTGCCTTCTGCTTATGTTAAAATATTCTTTCCTTTATGACGATGATGTCTTGTTGCACAGCGCTCCTTTTATTTATTTTTTTCGGTTAAAGCTGCTGTGTGTCAGCAGGTCTTTGTCCCAGCTTGATGGATAAGTGGATTTCTTACGATGGCATTGTCAGAGGAGACCCAGATTTACAGCCCCTAGACATGACTCATACACAGCCCTCAATGGCTTTGGTTATGAGAGGAAGCCCCACTCAATCAAGTGCCAGTCCATAAATAAAATAAGCTGTGGCAGGGCAGTGCACTCCTAATGGAGCAGCAGCCCCTGTTAAGGTTTTCACTTACTATCAAAAGAGAAGAAGGAGGTGGTCTGGGGGGAGTCTAACATTTGGAAAAGTCAGGGCAATACTTTCTAATTCAGATTGATGAGAATCTAATCCACCTTAAGGTCAATTCAACATCAAAATGAAGCGGAAAGCAATTTTCAGCTGATGTAAGTCAGGCTGGTGCAGCGCTAGATGCGTGCTGTGCCGGCAGGAAGACAGGCGTTGGGGTTTGGAGGAGTGTGCCATTTTCCCCACTTGGTTAGGGGATGACTCACCACTTTATCTCAGCCACTGAGCTCATTCCAACTTCCAAACATTGACTCATAATGTGTGTCCGTATCCCGTTGGACATGGTCGCTAACTATCTCCAATTATGATTAAAGTCCCGCAGTAATAATATGAATAAACTTAACAAAGTTAACTTGACAGAGTCTTGTCTTTTTGACTCTGTGGCTGTTACTTTGGAAAGAAAGTGCAGTTTTTTCTTATAGAAAATGATTCATTGTCATAATGGAACTTTAAGAAAGCTTGTGGTACACTGAAAAGTGAAACACTTAGACTCACAACTCTTACACTCCCTCATGCTCTTTACCCTCTCAACCACTTGAGAAGCTGAGTTCCTAATCCTGTTTACACTCTGCTCTATAGGCAGCAAGGAAGCGCAAGATCTCCATACTGAAGGCCCAGGGGAAGAGCACTGAAGCCATCCGGGAGCTCAATGAGTATTTGGAGCAGTGAGTGTTTGTTACAAGGGGGGGATCAGCCACCCCTTCTCTTCATCTCCCCAGATTTTTATTTTAATTAAAAACGAACCTGCTTTCAAGAGTGCTGGCATGATTTGAGCATAAAATGCCAACAAATGCTGTCAGCTGCAAGACTGTCATTGTTATTATAATACACAGTGGTTGCTTAATCCTAATATTTTTTTTCTTTAATATGTTAGTTTCATTTATTGTTTTACTCCTCTGGAGGAAGAGAATTTAATGTCAGTATTTGTTTACAGGTTTGTTGGAGACCAGGAAGCATGGCATGAGCTGTCAGAGCTCTACATCAACGAACATGAGTAAATGCATTTTTATATTTTAACCAAAACTATTGTAGTATTCACTTCCCTGAAAGCAGAGCCAAATTTCCTTGTATATATACTTTTTCATCTGCCTGTTCTATGTACAGCTTTAAAAAGCTTGCATTCTTTGTGGTTATATTGGGACCCACCTTTGCAGTTACAATACCCAAATCCAAACACTATTCAAGTCAAACATTTGCTATGGTCATTATGATCAAACTGATGCATTGTTTTATACAGTTGGAGCATAAACAAACCCTTTTCTTTTAGATAAAGGATTCTCCAATATGTGATTTTGTAACAGTTAACACAGGGAACAGCATCACCATGTTCATCATAGTTTATTAACAAATGCACATGGATTGATCTAGACATCTTGTGTAGCAAAAATTTGGTATTTAATTGTTGTTTAAGTGTGAGTTGTCGTGTCAAGGTTATCAGACAAAAAGTGACTTGGTACAGCTGCTTCATGTTTAGGTTGCTTGTGTCAGGACTTCACATCATTCTGATAGCTTGATCTCCAAAGGGCCGTTGGATGGCCACAATGGAAGGCGTTGAGATGCCAAACTCAGCCAGGGGTCTGAATAGAACCCTGGCTGAGTTTGCCGTATAAGACTGGTTTAATAGGATTTCAGGCTTAAGCCCCCACCCACTCCTACATATGAGAGCAGAAAGACTCCCCAGCCTGATATCTCAGTTGCCAGGGAGAACTGCCAGACAGACAAGAGCACTGTAAGACAAAAATAATTTTGTTTGTGTCACTGTTCATCCTTCCTTAATTGTCTGGGGCTCAGAAGTTAGTCAAGCGGTGTCTGTAGTTTAACAACATTTTTTTTTAAAAAATATATATATATATATATGCGTGTGTGTGTGTGTGTGTGTGTGTGAGAGAGAGAGAGAGAGGGACTTGACTGTTGTTGCTCTGGTAGGAAGGCAGCAGCAGCAGGAATGTGTAGCATGGTGAGAAGGCTACTTATTGGATATTTCATGCTTTGTCTGGGAGGCTTTATTGCTGTAGTAGCCAGAGGAAATCCTAGGGTGAGCGGATTATCTCCAAGCTTATCCCAACACTTCTAATATCACACCATTCACTCCCACAGCCCTCTATCTACAGGCGTGTCAATTTCTTTTCTTTGTCTTCTTTATTTTGGGTTACAAACTCCCTGTTTCCCCTCCTCCTCCTCTTCCGGATAGTGAGGCATTATCACCACTCTTTTCCACAGGGATAGATCAGGAGGCAGAGGGAGAGGACACTTGCTGTGAAATTCCCAGGAGAAGGTGGTGGCACTTTAGCCGCCCCCCTGCCACTAGAGAAAACAGAAGTTGATGGAGAAGCAAAGCAAGAGAAATAAACTCTCCTCCTCTCACTGCACAACACCCTGGAAGCTTAAAATAAACAAAGCAGTCTGTCTCTGCCTTGCTGCTGTTAGGGTTGTAGTAGACAGCATTAACAGATTAAGAATGTAATTAATAGCCTCTGAGCTGACACTGTTAAAACAATCCGTATGCCGCTGATGTTTAGACAGGAGATTATTTTGTCTGTTGCAAGTATTGCTCATAGCCACTGTTGGAATCTGCTGCTGGCTCTCATTCTGACCCAAGTTATGAGCCTGTTCAACCAAATTGGACTGGTCATCCAAAATTGCAGGATAAATAGTAATAATTTTTTCAAGCATACTTTGAATCCAATTTTGTCCAATGCATAGTCAGAATGTGGTATTAAAATGGGGGGTACGCCACTGCTGATGGTTTTACTAACCTCCAAAAGAAATAAATACAGAGTCTCACACATGATGGTGACACTACCCTCGCTCAAGCACTGTGGTGTAGAGGGAGCTTAGAAGCTGCCATAAAGAGCACATTGGGTTAGAAGCTTTCGTTGAAGAGTAGAAGAGGTACAAATTTGGCTCCAGTACAAGACTGATGGAGCAGGCACTGGTGTAGGCCACAGCTATTGCACGAGCACATCTGAAAGTCTTTATAGAGAGGAAGTAGTAATTGTAAGCAGCCCCCAACCTCCCAAGCCCTCTGATCTCCCTTTCTACTCAGCCCCTTTCCACTGTTTTTTTTTTTCTTCTCCTTTCTGTGTCCCCACCTTTCTTTAGCTCCTATGCTCTTAATTTTTCAGCTAGTTACCATGGCAAACTTCAGGTATACTGATAAGTTTTTCATGTTATTTCAAGCATCAGTCGGATCATTTCATTTCTCACAAAAGCAATAAAAAAAGCAAAATGCGTCTTTGCATTTTGCTTTTTTTTTATGAAGTGAGAAATTTGAGAAGTCTTTAACAGGGTAAAAGCCTGTTCACACAAGCAAGATTTTTGTTTTTCAGCTTATTCTTTGATAAAGTTTAAGTTATATGTAAAATCTTGAAAGGCAAATAAAAATACAGAATTCCTTAAGATATTAAGGCTTGACTACAAAACTTTGCCCATTTTCTGTTGATAGGTCTGCTCTCTGTCTCGGCTATGTGCCTATGTGCTAGCTTGCATTTGGTTAGGTGTGCAGACGTTTTATGGCTTTGTGTCCAATGATATACTGTATCTTAGCTTGTCTTGGCCTGGTCCTGTGAGGGGGGGAAACTGTGTATTAGAAGTGGAGTGGCAGCAGATTAGTGTGAGGTCAACAGCTCAGCAGTCTGCTGCTGAGAAGTGATCTCATCTGAGTATAGGCACAGTGTGCCAGCTCTTACTGTAGTGCTGACCTCAGGAAGGTAGTTAACTACACATTAAAGACAGGAAAAACACACAGATGGACACAGTGTCCCCAGTGGAGAAAGAATCACCACACTAGATAGGCTTTTACCTTAGCAAGCTGTCTAGACCAAATACCCTTTATTGTAAGCGTCTGAATAAACCTCTCATCTGGTGGGCCTTTATATATTATAAGTCTGTCACCTGTGAAATGACGTGTACCCTGTGCAGTCTCATCTCAGACCTGTGAATTTACAGAGCGTACCCGTTGTGCTTCACAGTTGAACAACCTTAAGGATGACACATCCACAGCTGTATCAAGCTTACTGTTTTCTTTGTCGCTTCCACAGCTATGGAAAAGCTGCATTTTGCCTGGAGGAGCTGATGATGATCAATCCTCACAATCACTTGTACTGTGAGCAGTACGCTGAGGTAGGTAACCACCTGGATGTCTGTCACCAAATACAGAGCTGGTCATATGTTGTTTATTCAGATGTCATGTTGTCATTGCTTGAGCTGCCCTTTAACACAGCTTGTTGCTTGTGTTTAATGCCTCCTCACACAGGTGAAGTACACTCAGGGGGGGCTGGAAAACCTGGAGCTGTCCAGGAAGTATTTTGCCCAGGCGCTGAGGCTGAATAACCGAAACATGAGGGCATTGTTTGGTCTGTACATGGTGAGTGCTGCTTTGAATGAAGAGAAAGTGGGAAAGAAATACAACAGTGGTTGAGCCTTTTTTTGTAACGCTGTGGTTTTTCAAGGTTGAGGCTGGCCACAGTGTGTCAAGACTGTACTTTCTCTATCTGTATGTGTGTGTGTGTATGTTTTTGGGGAGAGCTCTCAGATGGGTCAGCTCGCTGCTGACTCAGACGGTGAACTCCAGCACTGGAAAAGCCTGCCCCTCTGGAGCCCTTTATTTTAGTAATAATACCCCCTTGGTGAGACTTTTTCATGTTTATGACTTGAATAAATAAAGTAGTTATGGGCTAAAAAGGAGAAAAGCATAAGGAAGAGAGCAGCACAGCTGTTGCCAGTATTTTGTGACTGCACTGGCAAATTATACAATCAGGTTCTAGTTTAATTGGAATATTGGCCAGATAGCCCATTCATCTACATATTTGTTTAAACAGGATATTGTGTGCTAGTGCCAGTGCATCATACGTAAGGGAGATCTGACATAAAAACACAAACAAAGCAATGCAGGGAGCAATAGGCAGAAAGTGGAAGCAGCTCTTTACGCAGCGAGCCCTGGTATTTTCCTGTTTTCTGGACTGGGATTCTTCATTTAGTCCAAACACCTCACAGCAACCCACACCCTCTGAAACATCACAGGTCTAGAAGAGGAGCAGTGAAGGTCAGATCCAAGACATTTAGTCCTGCTAATTCTCAAGTCTGACTGGCGAGAGAGCAGGTTTCTTTTTTCATGATTATTATTATTTTTTTTTTTAATATATCGTCCAAAGACCCTTGGGTCTTTAAAGGATACTTCAGGTGGTTATTTATTATTGTAGTAGTTAAAGAACTGTCTTAATGTGTTTTGCACATTGTTAGCTAGCCTCGATGGTCCAAACAGTGACAGGTGCAAGTTCAACATAAGGGAAAACTTTCACCATCTTACACCATCTGAGTCAGTGTGGCACAAGACCTGGTAGCACTGACCACAGACTGGTTGTGGACTGGTAACTTACACCACTCACTTGGGGATTCCCCTCCACAGTTGTGCACACAGTTATTCAGGGATAGCCTGTCTGTGTTGACATCATCTAAATTGAGGTTTCTCTTGAGCTAAAAAAATAGAAATAAAAAAAAAAGCTTACTAAAAAAATACAGAAGCCAAACCATTTTACAGAAAAAAAAATAGGGCCAGGTTGATTGGTGCGTAGCTAAAGTTTCAGCACACTGGTAGGTTGGGCTTTGAAGTGCAGGCAGGGTAAGCCCTCTGGGGTTTGCTGCGTGGAGATGATGGCAGGAACATGGGAAAGACATGGGATTTGTGGTTCGGAGGGGAGCTGTCGGGGCAGGCAGAGACCGTGATTCACATGGCGCTCCTTTCATTTCACGTCAGGCTTTTTTCAAAACATACAAGGTCCTTTCATCGGCGGGAATCAATGGTGTTGGAGAAATTAGGCCCTGTTAAGTGACAATTTACGTATGAAGCATTAAAATGCTCACTTTTTCCTCTCCGTAAATGATTTCCCCTGTGTCATCAGGCCAAGGTCTGTTTTTTCTCTTCATTCTGCCACAATGACTAGTGGAGTGGTAGATGGTAAGAGTGGTTGCACATTCATCTCCATTACGCTTTTATTGCTGTTTCACCAAGTTTTGATATAAGAACACCCCTTCCCCTGTTCTCTCCTTTGCATCTTCCTTCCATCTTGTTTTTTTCCTTCTAGTCTGCAAGTCACATCGCTGCCAGTCCTAAAGTTAGTGCCAAGGTGAAGAAGGACAACATGAAGTATGCTGCTTGGGCTGCCACTCAAATAAATAGAGCCTATAAGGTGAGTTACAAATAGACTTTAATCTAATGTGATGTGAGTGCACCTAGCTTTTAATTTTTCTTTCTTTGGTGTCTCTTTCCTGCTGAAAAACATTTTTCCCCCACATCAATCTTCACTCTACCAGACACTGAAAACCACCGATCAGAATTTTCTGCTATGTTGCAGCTTTCATGGAGTACTTGCACACAATATTCAGAGATCCTAAAATCCCCCTTATTTGCATAGAATGTGAAAAGTATTCCCTACCCAGTATTGACCCTTAAATGCACAGCAGTCCTGTAGGATGCCTTTGACTTGCATGGCTGTAATAACAGCCCTGACGTCTTTTACTGTGTCTGGGTACATTTACTGTTAATGTGTTGACTTAAGGCCACAGCGTCTGCTAAGACTTTATCCTGCAAACTGGCTTCACAGATGAGCTTCTTGCAGAGCCACAAGCTGATTCTCAGAGGACAACACTAAACTATAGCGTGAGAGTAGTCTACTTCAGTCTTTCTCAAAGTGGGATATAGTGACCCGTAGCTGGATTTGAGGAAAAATGTAGGAGGTTCATAGCAGTTCCAAAAACCGTTTACGTATGTTGTCTGATTTCTTCAGTTCCAGTGTTTAACTAGCTGCTGTTTTAATATTTTACAAACAGATTCAGTCTTCCCTGTGAGGCGGTCTTCCATTAAGTATTTGCTTTGCCCTATTACTGTAGAGAGCAAAATTTGGGAGAGAGAGAAAGATAAAAAGGAAGCCATAAATAAGGTTAATAAAGGATGGATGTGGACATGCATGCATGTATTTGCTGCTTTAGCAAGGAAGGGGCAAAAGTAAGGAGTTTGTCAGATGGTATCACTAAAATGGTTTACAGTGTCGTCCTGGCAACCAAAGTACGAAAGCATAAAGATTATTTGCCATACTTGCCAGATGTGTTGCTTATTTGGGCACCAAACGATTGTAATGTAATAAGTGGTTCCTCACTCAGCTTCTGTGGGTCCTACAGAAGCTGAGTGAGGCTTCCTGCTGAGCCTCTAAAGACCTTGTCTCACCACATTTGACTCTACTTGCCTTATAGGCACGTTTCACATGTTGAGCCCTCAGTCTGACAGTTCTGTTGGAAAAAGTGTGCATGTAACATGATGGTGAACTTTTTTGCAGAAGTGTCACAAAACGGCTCTAAGCTGTCACTTGCTCCTTTGATTTGAGTGAAAAAAGAATAGAAATAAAATAAAAATAGAAGAGCTGTCGTTGAAGTGGTACAGCTTATTTGGTTTAGATTAGCACTTTTATATTTGCAGAATGTCTTGATAAATTTAAAAAATGTTGAGCTGGCTTAGTCAATGCAGAATGTCTTCACTGAAGTCAAGTGCATACTACTTTTCACTTTGATTTTTGTGCCTACTGACCTTATCCTGTCTTAGAAAAGCTTTGATCTTAGCAGGGGAAAAGATGAATATCCCACACTGATAGCATTTTTTTCATATATCTAAGACTTAAAATAAGAAAACAGCCCTGATGGTTTTTTTGGTTAAAATAGTGAAACTGTATATTCTTGGAACTTCTCATTCCTAAGAAAAATAGCATCTTATTGGGCTTTACCAGAAAGTTTTTAAATGTTGTTACACAGTAGCATAACAGGGAGTGTGTTAAAGGCTTTAATCAGAGACAGAAAACACATCTGTAATATAACTAATGAAAGAAATTGATTGATACATGATACACTTTCATAGTGCCTAACTGTATAAAGTTTTTATTCTCATTAGTTTTATAGGAAGAAAAAAATCTTTGGTGTATTTTTTTTCTGAATTGACCAGTTCTGCAACAATTTATATTTTTTCCCAGGGATTTAATGTGCTTGAAAAAATAATGGCCAAGATGAAAATACTCTGGGCCAAGTTGTAATAGCAGGCTAAAGTAGTAGCTACTCTTAAAGGCCATTGGACAAGTGTGTAAAAGCTAGATTATGTGTGATTTTGACCCTGTGCTGACGATAATGAAACACCTCAGTCAGTCACACCTTTATCCTCCAGGGAGCATGATGTGAGATTCATCGCAGCCCTCTGCTTCTGCCCTGCTCTGCAACCTCCTAGTATTTGTTTAGTTGCTTAGTGGAGTTGTGTGGATTTCAATTCAGCTGTGAGCGTGCGACCACATTACGGGTATGCATACCTGGCTGCCACCATGCGTCACGTGTGCTTCTTTTTTTCCCCCTTCTTCCCTTTGTCGTGTGAGATGAGTTAAATGACAAGGTGTGAGGTTGCCTCTTTTAGTTCTTCGATCTCACCTCGGGTAAAATGACTCTTGAGATGCCCTCCATCAGACAGCTGCTGGCTGCTGTGCGCTTGTGCTGGCTGATTGATTGCTCCTTTAAAGCGTCGCCCTTGTCAGTCTTCCACTTTTATTAGGCTCCGGTACCTGGTGATTGTCATACCTTTGTGTGAGGAAACTGTGGGCAGGTGAGTGTACGAGGGAACAGACATTGGTGAGGGGTCATGACTGACAGGGTTGCATTTCAAAAGAGAAAAGAAAAAAAAGTAATTACTGTGGTGAAGTTGGATGTGCAGGAGACCTGGAGATGTGTGGGTTGTTGTTCCATCAGGGGTGAAAGTAGTACTACATAGCCTGGCCTCTTTTCCTAACTCTCTAAACAAATTCTCTGATTAGCTCTTCTGTCACGGACAGAGGCTCACACTGCGTCATGACTCCATTATCAGATGCTCTAAATAGATGTGGAGCTGTCTAGTCTGCTCCTACTTGTAGAGCAGAGCAGGAGTTAATGTGGTGGTCTCACCTCAGGCCGAGGAGATAATTGACTACTGGGCTCAGAGTAATGGCGCATTAGACAGCAAAGCAATGAAATGCACAGATCATTATAGCTACCCCACCACACAAACACACACACACACACACACCCTAAATCTAGAAGAATGAGTCACCCTTGGAAATTACACACCCAATTGTACACCTTAGCCAACTGCCCTCTCTAAGTTGGAGTTTGGCAAAAGGAGAAGGAAAAAGCTTTTACCATGGAAATACAGTATGGACTAGGTTAAGCCTACATTTATTTCCTGTTTGTAAAGGCTTGAGAAGGACCAAACGTTGAGTGACTAAATATGTCACAGCAATAAATCAGTGCTTTATGGTATATGTAGAATTTTAAATAATCTGCTTAGCGGTGTTATTCCTCAAACATCCCAAGCATCATTTTTTTTGGGTCACACCAGCCCTCTTCATGCCTTTCTTCACTACATCCATGAACCTCCTCTGTGGTCTTCCTTTTTTCCTCCTGCATGGCAGCACCATATTCACTGTTCTTTGTTCCTCCTCTGTACATATCCACACCATCTCAGGCTTACCTCTCTAACTTTGTTTTTAAACTGCTCAGACTGATTACAGCTGCATGTGTCAGCTCAACTGTCAGTAAAAGTGGCTTTGTGCTATTACCCAATGGATTAGCTATGAAAATATGAAATTAACCATCTTATAATTGTTATGAGACTGAGACCACCTCTAAACATGTTAATTTCATTACTGGAAACAAGACTCACTTTTAGGGATGGCGTTAAGTGGGCCCTTCAGGAACTGCAGTTCTTCAGCATGTGTTGGCATGCTAACATGCCAAATTTGATTGGCTGATTATTAGCATTTTGTTAATCTGATTTTGACTCTATTATTATGCTTTTACATTTTGCATGACCTCAACCTGCTGACTACATGAATATAGAGCCTTAGAACTGTTTACTCTGGATTTATTCACTGCATATATGTTGTAGTTTACTATACAGAATTGTCATAACATACAGTAACTACAATTAAGTGAAAATGAGCAGGGCACATAACTTTTATCAGCTGATATCATTTGCCATGTATGTCTTTCTTTAGACATGGTTACAGACAAAATTAAATCTATGCCTGTATAGGTAAAGTTAATTGAACTGACTCATTTTGGGCCCCTGGTTCCTTGCCGATGGTTAAGGAAGTCGCCTTCCGTAGTGGTATTTTTTGAGGGGGTGCCTTATCCATGGCAAAGTTAAATTGGGTAGAAAAAGTGTGTGCTTCTGTGTGTTTGCATGAGTAATCTGATACATGTCTGCGGATTATAATTTGCAGCACTTCCTGCAAAACCCTGTGGACACAGTGCAGAAATTAGAGTAGGGTGTTACATACTTCTATACTAGAGGCCATGGAAGAGGACTAATGTGGGCATCCTGTCTCGGAGCGCACTCAAAATGAAAATGGCACTTACGCAACAGTTGAGGAAAAATCCTGATTGGAGGTATTATTTTACTTTGCATGACCCATTTACCAATTCTATTTAATGACCACTGTTGCGTCTCTGATTATTTCTGCTTCTATGCTTCTCCATTCTAAATGGGGAAAAGGATGTTTTTGGTTAGTTGTTGAAGCATGCTACTGGGTGGATGAGGTTATCTCTGATTCTGTGAAGCTGTGTTTAAGTGTGTTTGGCTCTCCATTACGTTAGTTGGCAGAGAGATCTAATGAGTTGATGTCCTCTTTTTCCCCCTTCTCTCCGCCCTTACTCTGTCTCTGCCACTCACCTTTGTTCTCTGACTTGCAGTTGGCTGGTCGTGGGACCAAGGAGAACAAATGCTCCATGAAGACGGTGGAGGAGATGCTGGAGTCGATGCAGATCACAATGTCCTAGACGCCCTTGTGTACATCGGTCCTTGGAGCAACATGGCAGCTCAAGTAGCCTTGCAATGTGACCAGAGTGGTTGTAGAAATTATTATTTTTTTAATCAGGTTCGGTTCTGTAAGAGGACATTTGTTATGCTCAAACACATTGATTTTGCCACCTGCCTGGGAGTTAAATCCACATATTTCAAAATGACTAACAAACATACAAAGTGTCTCCTGGACTGTACTAACCCTCCCATTTCTAGGTTCTTTTAAGTTCAGCTAATATCACTAATTACTACATTTGCATTAATGATATGACTGTAACCAGGAGAAAAACAAGCTGTACAGTAAATGTTATTTTTAAGAGATCCCACATGTCTGCACTGATGTCTGCTACTGTCTGTTTCCATTCTATCTGTAAATGAAAAAAAAAAAAACTAATTTAATAAACCAACTGTTCCCCCCCCCTATTTTATTTTATTTTTGTTAAATCTTTTAACGTGTTTTCATAGAAGTTGAGTATAAATTTTCTACCCATCTGTGTCAGTTTAAGAGCAGGATACGTAGGTTGTTTTTGGATTTCTGTTTGTTGGCAAATTTGCACCTGCAATAATTGTCCTGGACAATTTAAGAAGGGCATCTGTCATTAAGGCAGCAGCAGGATCAGAGGTATGACATATTCCACTGCTTCTCAGTTACCCCTCTGAACAGCATTTGAAACAGCTTTAATACACTTGCGATTAACTCTGTCATTAACATGTGGCATCTTGTTAAAAACAAAAAACAAACTGTTCATAAAGAGAGTGCATTCATAAGAGGAAGGGAAGAAAAAACATCTTAGTTCTGGTAAGTTTTGTTACTTCTGCCGTTCACTCAGTTCACTCAGTTCTGTGATGGTTGAATGTGAATCCCATCCAAATGTGCACCTCAAGTTGTTGCTCACCCGTGCGGGGTCAGCTGTTACTTCCATTTCTTTTGTTTATTAAGTCAAGGCAATTGTCTCATAATTTCACTCTTCGGCGGATGGAAAACTTGAGTGTCGAGTTTATGGTCTTTTTTTGGACAGCGTTTAAGCTGAGAGAGTAACTAGCCCAGAGATGGGAGTGTGGAAAGCCATTTTCTCAAGTTTTTAATACTCTCTGACCTTGGTCAGTGGATGAACGTGTTTGCATTTGATTTTTCTCACCAATCTGATGGAATCGGTAAAAACCAAGGGACATTTGAGAAAATGCGGACATGAATTCTTTTTTACAGGAAAAGCACTGAGGCTAAATTGAACTCTTGTAGTTGCACAATTGGAGTAATTTGATTTGAAGCTCTGTGTGTGTGTGTGTGTTTTTTTTTTTTGTTTTTTTTTTTTTTTTTGGGGGGGGGGGTGTTATGTTTAATGCTCCCATGCACCCATGTAAATATTTCAGTACTTCAGAAGGTCATTTATGAACTTATAAAAGCTGAATAAAGGTTGTCAATCAGTGTGTTTGAAGTCATTGTTATCATTATGAGATACAGGTCTTTAGGTCTAGCCACACTGAGGCAACAGTGCCATCTGTAGTCTAGATGAAGAATTTGGGTAAAGCCTTTGCAATACAGCAGTGAGTGACATACATTGGAAAGAGGCTGTGAATGTCATGCACTAACCTTAACCTGTATGTAATGTTATTTTTAGCCTGTCTGCAACCTTGATTTGTAGAGGAAGAAAAACTGTGTTACACACCATTTAACAGTCTTGAATCTGATAAATCTTTTCCTTGTGTTCAGCTGTGCGGTCCAAACATATCCTTGTAGAGTCAAGGAAAACAGAATCTTGGCCTGTGCTTGTATTAAGTCAGACTAAATCTTAGCATCACTTCTACAGAAGCACCTGCTCATCAGTGTTTTCTCCCTGTGGTCTAGGGTCTAGGAGCATGACTTTAGTGCATACCTGATCCTAAAGCTTGAGGAGAGAACCTTCTAATCCCTCTAAGCTGCTGGCTCAGCCTGGTGTGTATAGTGAATTCACTGTTAGTGCTGCTCATAATCCTGGATTCTCTGGGAGATTAGCCCTTGGAAAGGGTTTGCTTGTCCTTGGCTGCTCTACAATGGTCAGGTTAGCTGAAAAAGGATGAGCCTGAGGATGAGGAGCTTATGAGGACTGGATAAGAACTGTGCCTGATCAGCCTATTCATCAAAAGCTGGGGTGATGACAGTGATTTACAATTAACACTTGCACTGAATGACAAAGATTGAATTAGGTTATTTCTCAAGTAATATTACTTTTATTACAGGACACGTTTTTTTTATTTTGTGATCATCAAGTGCTTGGGCAAAGGCAAGATGCTTGCTGGTAAACCATTAAAGCACTGTCAGATATGAAAAATGTGCCCCCTAAGATTGAAAGATGCGCCTAAGAGTTTTAACAAAATTTCTTTTGGTAACCCAAGTGTATGACTCTGAATGGCAATGCTCATCAACTGCCCCCGCTTTGAACAATATATTTGTAAAACTCTTGGATGGATTTCAATGATAGACACTGGATGATTCCCACAAGTTTTTTTTTAAAACAAAAGCAGATAAAAATGTTGGGGTTTAGTTAGCTTTTTGGCTGTGACGTTTTCTTTTTAAAATATTCATCATACCCACACGATAAGCCCACTGACACAGGTGATCGCTGGCCTTTGCTACTGCAACACTGGGACTGACATAGTAACTGGCTGGAAGAACTGGAACAACATGTTGCAAAAACACGGAGAGTTCCCAGAGGATGAAGCTTAATGACATTGGGGATCCCTCGAGTTTTCCTGTAACACCATTATGAGGTTTACATTTTTGGTGTTTAGCCTGAGTCTTGACCACTTGAATGGATAGCCCCATTCATTTTGAAGTATCAGTTGTCACATACTTTCATTATAACTAAGCACTGATCTAATGATGTTCCCAACAGCTATACAATATATATGATGCTAACTAGCAAATGGAAATATGCCAGATAATGCTGCCAAATGTTCTTGATGCCATTCTTGTGCCCGTTGGCACAGGAGGCCACAGGCACACGTAGCAAGATTGACCCTTTTCTATTCTATTTTCAGTTGCAGTTTGGTTACGTTTACATAACAAAATTAAGTCAAAAAATGGTTTGAGCTAAAATGCAAGAATGTTAACTACATTTCTCTGGCAACAACCCGTAAAGAAAAGTTTTGACCATGCACAACTGTTTGAAGTTGTCTAGTATTTTAACAAGTTGAATAATATTATACTGCATCTAAAGGGCAAGGAGCTAGCCTGTGGAAAAGACCATGGGATTGGGACAAGAGTTTGTAAGAAGAGTGACTGTGCAAGATCAAAGTAGAGGAGACGAGAAAAAAATATGAGTGTAGGTAAGGGGCAGACAAATGCAAAAAGTGCAGCAGGGTAACTTCCCCAAGGTGAGGGAGTGAATGGAAAGAAGGAGTGAGGTTTCCTGAAAATTCATCCATCTTTGTCTGATTTAGGGAGAGAGACTGGAAGTGCCAAAGATGGATGAGGCATGCAGTGCTAAATCCAGCCCTGTCCAGTCACACAGCCGGGCTTGGCGATGAGATAGTGTTTTGGCCAAGAGCAGGGACGACCTGACCCGCTCCTTTTTTTCTTTTTGGGATGCAGAAGAAGTAAGTAGCTGGACTGCTTAAGATGGATCTATCAAGTAGTACCTAACTTAAAGACCTGCAATGAGATGTCTTTCATGCAGTTGGCCCATCCGGGGCTCAGTTAGCAAATTTACAATAATCTGCAACTTTGAGCGCTTTGTTCCATCTCAGTTACCTTTGAATATTAACACGTGTACACTGCAATAAATGACTTTCCTTAATTCTGTGGTATTTGCATAGATCTGCTTGGCTTGTCATGGCAATATAATGCTGTTTTCGCAATGAAATTCATTTTGTGCACAATGTTTGACACGCGTATATTCATCAAAGCAGTTTTTATTTTTTTTACTTAGATCCAGCTGAAAGCATCTCATTCACCCATTTGCATAACATAGTCAAGAACTGCTTCAATACATGCTGATAAAGAGGTAAGATGGTTACATTTAAAACTGAAGGGATTGCAATACATAATACATTGCAAGCATTGCTTATGAACTAGTGGTGTAATCTGGAAAAACTTTTTTTCTCTGGCTCCTATTGCACAATGTCTCCTTGTTGGTTCTGTTTTATTTTTCCTGTACACAATTGCACAGGTATGAATGCAAAGTTAATTTTTTCTCCAAGGGCATCAATGCTGGGAAATAATTTCCTCTCAAGGCAAGAGAACATCCCTGAGAAAAGCATGTGAGTGTGTGAGAGAGGGAAAGAAGACGAGAATGTGTGGTTATGAAAGTGTGATTATGAATGTGTGGACAATGTGCAGGCATGCCTTTGTGTCAGCTTGAGTTTGCGCGCACATGCAAGCGAGACTATGTGGTAATTTCAACAATATGAGGAACTTTTGCCCGTGGAATTAAAACTATTGGCCCAAAGCCTCTTGACCAGGAGGCTCCAGACTGCTGCTATCTTCTTCCAGAGGATATTCTGCGGCCTCCGCACTCCTTTCTGGTTGTTGCGCTGGCTTCTCAGCTCCAGGCTCTCTGGCAGAGGTCTCGACTGTGCACATGTTGAGGCTGTATCCTGTCTGCAAAGTCTGTCACAGTGTAGGGCATGTGTCAAATCGGAGAGGGGGCAAGTCGTTGGCTCCAGCAGACAGTTGTTCTTTCCAGCCCAGGCTTCCCAAACCACAAATCCCCTCTCAGCATGTCTTCTCAGCCAGAATGCACAAGCCTACCCCAAACAAGGCCTGGGGCCTAATTACAAAAAGGAGGGAAAACCAGAATTGGCTACTGATTGAGCTTCCTGGGTGAATGTTAATGGCAACCACAAAAGGATATTTTATACTCTGAGAGTGATGCAGCAGAGATTGGAAATATATGTGGAAGCTGGGGAGGCTGCACAGGCAAAGCTTTACATGCTTTTATGAATGCAAACAAGCAATAACATGTTCTTTGATTCCATAGGCATTGTGAGACATCATATTTGTGTCTGCGCTGCCATCCAGGAATGGTAAACATTACTGTGCTACAGTTCTGGTCTCAGAGGAGTTCCAAGGCACTTTGCCAAACCTCATTCCAACTGGGAACAATGGGACACACATATTCCTTCACATTGCAGCTTTAGTGGTGTTTGAGCACTTCCTTCTCTTGAGTTTGAGTACCTATATATCATGTCAACAGTGTAATGCCTGTCATTCAAATACTGCATTTTATCGCAGTCATGTATTGTATATTAGTAGAGCCTTAAACCAAACTTTATTGGACACTCATTGAAATACTTGGAAAGTTCAACCATATTACATATTACAAATTATTATCAAGAATTTATAGACTTTTTTCCAAAATGTTTCATTTTTATGTTGCAAATGGTTAGTTTGGGGGCAGGGAGGGGTTATATGCCATCTGTGACATAGCCTGATCTTCCCTAATTGCCTGTGAGAAACCCACGGGGCACTAGGAACTCATGGAAGCTGTTTTTTGTGTTTGTGCTAAGCTAGGATAACAGCCTTAGCTTTGCACAAACTTTAGGCTTCTATGGAGCACTATGGAAGTGGAATTCATGGCATATTAGCTTATAAATGACCCAGGTGCTTTCCTACTCATTGTAAATTAAGGACACAATAAATGATTTCTTCATGGGTCCTAAATGAATGCTCGACTGCTAACTGCTGTTACCTACCTACCTGTTGCATTATGATGCGCTAGGCCAAGGATCTTGCTTTAAGGCATGACCAGTAGTATCGTTATTAATTACATCCATCTGAGCCCATAAGAGCTGCACTTGTGTGTGGTTTAATTTATTCTCATGATAGCTTGTCCATTCCACTGCTTATAGGGTGGCTGACCATCAGTCTTGGGGTCGTTACTCAAGAAATGTACTCTAATACGCAGTATTCATTACTTTTCTTAAAAGTAAATCCATATGTTGCTTACTCCTAAAATGACCTGAAATGCATTGTCAAATAATTACCAGTTAACAGTATAAACATTAGGCTACAGTTCCACACAATAAAACAAATGTGAATCCTAATGAGGACACACGTACAGTCTTTCTTTTAGTGTTTTTACATGTGAACACAAAGTTAAGCTGCAAACAAAGGAAATCAGATCTTGAACTTCTGAAACATGTAAAGGTAGAAATGGAGGCTACAAGCCTGACTACTCATCACTGCCTTTGTTACCTGTTGAAGATCAGGCTCTGCCCTGACGGCGCTTGCAGTTTCCTGATACATGCTAATTATGGCAGTGAGAAACTCAGAACCCCGACTGCAGGATATACTGATATGCAATGTGGTCCACTAACTCCCTTTGTATTATCTACTTCACACTATTTGCCTGAATCTCATTTTGTATTTTCTAAGGTTACAGTACATCTTCCTTTTACATCCATCCAGTCAAAACCCATCACACCCTTTCCCTGTGACAGGATTTGTA